AAGGAAGGCAGTTGGGCCTTCCCTGCGGGGCTGTAAACAACCCCCGCCCCTGCCTCAAGGGAAGAGTCACGGGGCTGAGAGGGGCTGCCAGAAAGATGGGAAAGAGGGGTCCACAATGGGACCCGCCTGGTGCGGCTGAGACCCGGGGCCAGAGGGTCAGGGGAAACCCAGAGTTGGCCTGGGGATCTCCCTGCCCCTGGGCTGCAGCTGGCAGGAGGAGTGTGCCCACTTCCGGAGGACAAAGCCATCGGTGCAGCTGCTGGTCAGGTCAGATGGCAACAGACGCTCTCCCTGTGCCCGAGGAGCGTGTTCCTGGGGGACCTGAGGGAAGGGGGCTGCTGTGCTCAGGCTCTGCTGCTTCATGGGGGGGCAGAGGGGCCCAGCTTCCAATCTGTTCCTTTCCCCCATCTTGGGAAGGGCCCTAAAGAGCCCTTTGGGAGCCTGGCGAGAAGCCAGCGGGGCCCAAGTGTAGCTAACGCTAATTAAAACGTAGGTAAGGTCACGCTACCAGCAGGGCGTTATATTTTTCAACCGCTCCATCTTCGAAAGCAGCCCAGGACAGTCTAAAAAAAGGAAAATTAATCTCCAGTAAAAATAATTGCATTCAAAAAATTAATCAAACCATCTCTTCTAGAGGAGTAAATATACAACAAAACGTGTGCGTCAACCAGTGTTGTTTCTCCTTTCACCAGAGCGATCCGGGGGCTGCTCTGTGTTTCTCCAGCTCCTGTGGGAACTCTGTTTCTGTACCACTGCAAACTCGCCCAGGTAGGTAATGACTCATGCTTTCCTGGGGGCAAAGTTGGGGAGTGAGTGAGTGTGTGAGAAAAAGCAGGCTGGCTTATGGGTGGCTTGATTTCTTGACTGGGTGCTGTCGCTTCCCCCAAGGGATCCTGGTCTTGCAGAAGGAGGGTCCCAGCCCTCCCTGGATGCTGCCCTGGCTCCGCTAGTTGGCCTGGGAGGGGCATGCAGCAAGGGACCCCCCCCAGCATGCTGAGCCCTCCTTCCTGCACGGAGTGCCCCCCTCCCACCGCCACCTTGCCCTCGAGAGTGCTCCCCCCTCCCCCCCTCCAGACAAGTTGCTCTTTGCAGCAAACGGGGGGACTCCCAGCGGGCTCCGTCAGCTGCCTTCCTGCGGCTCTTCTGCAGGGCTTGCACAAATGTTTGATGACTCAGACCCTCGGCATGAACTTTGGGGCACGGGAGAGAAGGAGGAGGAGGAGGACCCCGATGCAGCAGGAGAGCCCTCGGCCCAGGCGAAGGGCCCAAATCTGGCAGGAAGGGAGCTGGAGTGGCGGAGTTTGGGAGCTGGTGAGTGGGCGCAGGGCGGAACGGGGGTCTGTGGCCCGGAAGCGCTCTGGGGCAGGGACTAGGTTGCTCCAGGGTGGAGTTCATGGCCAGCACCGATCAAGGGGAGGACCCTCGAGAGGGTGGGAGGATGCCAGGGGAAAGCAGGGCGCTTAGACCATAATTGGGAGCTTTGGCATGCCAGGGGTGCTTCCGGAGGCGTGGCCCCAGTGACTGCACTGGACATAGTGGGAAAGGGAGTCCTGCCACGCAGAGGGCAAGGCTCAGGAATTGCCATCCTCTCTGCCAGGGTGCTTGGGGTTGTTGACGGGGTCCTTGTTTTGGGAAGGAGTGAAGGGGGATCCCCACGCAAGCTGCCTTGAGCTCCTGGAGAAACATCAGGTTGCCAGTTTGAATGCTGGGGCTTACGATCCCCGCACGCAGCTTGGGAAAGGTGGTGCCCCGTGAAGCTGTAACTGTCTGCTTGCCTTGTTAGGGCCTGGAAGTCACAGTGGCCCCCCGGTGAGGTGGCCCTGGGGAGCAGAAGCCCTGCCACGGGGAGAGGGCCCCTCCTCCGGCACCTGGACCACAGAAGCCATTTGCTTGCGGATTTGGCCGGGCCCAGAGGTATCCTCCAGGGGAGCTGTGCTGTGGGGTGTGGGGCGGAAGGAGGGGTCCCCTGCACCCCGGGTTCTCAGTGGGCAGCCCTGAGAAGGGGAAGGCCCTCTGCTCGTGGGCTGATTGCTTCATATAGCTGCCGGTTGGTGGGCTGTGCTGAAGCATTCTGCATTTGTTCCTGTATGTTGCCTCCTCCATTGGGGGGGTGCATGGGGGGTGCGAGAGAGAGAGAGAGAGAGAGAGAGAGCCCTCTGGAGCTCCTTGGCTTGAAGGCCTGCGTGGCTTCTGGCCCCCAACCACCAGATTCTCAGAGGCTCTTGAGCTGCAGAAAACTGGGCCCAGCCCCTTCTGGCCAGCCTCCCACTGCAGTCCCAAGCCTGTGGGGCCGACCAGAACCCCCCCGGCCTGACCAGGGCCTGGTTGGTGCTTCAGGCCTCCCGGGGCTCCTCCCGGACACTCTGCCACCCGTCCTTCCAGTCCTTCTACTCCGCCGTCTCTGGCTACAGCCACTGCTCCCAGCCCCCTCCTCCGGGAGCTCCAGCATCCTCCTTGGCACCCGAACCCAAGACAGGTGAGCACAAGACAGGTAAGCGGCAGGGTGGGAGGGGGAGGGACTCTGGGGACGGGCAGCTGTCCGGCAGCTCCAGACCTGAGGAAGCTACGGGGGTCCTCCTGGTGTGACGGAGGCGGGGATTTGGCCTGGTGGGAGCGGGGCACAGCTTGCAGCGGCCTTGCCCATCCCTTGAGCCCCAGGACGGGTGGTTCTGTTGACACGTGCTGGGGTGGGTGGCTGGGGGAGGCCAGGGAAGAGCAGCTGACCTGTGGAGATCCCTTTCTCCAGATCGGTTCTCTGTGAAACAAATGATTTGGGCCTTCAGTAGGGGAGGCGTGGGGGACTTTCTTCTGCTGGGAGGGGCAGGGGCAGGACGGGGATCCCAGGGCGTTTTCCTCCTGCCCATCTGAGGCACAGTTTTTCAAACTGGGAGACTTTAAGAGGTGTGGACTTCAACACCCAGAATTCCCCAGCCAGCATGTCGAAGTCCACACCTCTTAAAGTCACCCAGTTTGAAAAACCCTGCTCTAAGGTGTTCTCCCCCTGCCCCCCGTTTTCTTGCCAGGCCCCCTGCCCTTCCTGGACTGCAGCAGCTTCTTCTACACAGACCCCGCCATGCCCCCTGGACTTCGGATCTACAACTGGCTGTCCTGCTCCTCTCTGGAAGTAAGTCCCACGTTACCTGGCCTGGAGGGTGGCACCAAAGGGGGCCAAGGAAGACACTGACTGTATGGGAATATTGGTGGTGGGTGGGGAGGGGCGCCCCTGAGGCTCTGGGGCAGGGGGAGCAGCGCCTGCCACTCTGGGGTGCTCCATGCCCACTCCGGCGCAGAATGCCCGACTCCCGATGAGCCTGCCTGCCGTGAAGGAAGGTCTGCGGGTGCCACCATTCCCTCCGGGTGCCTCTTCCCTGCTTTCTCCCTCTCTCACTCTCGCCCAGGTGCTCCACTGCCTGCAGCTCGACACCCCGGCCCCCATCATGGCCCTCCGTGAGATTCCTCCTGCTCCTGGCCCTTCCACCAGGAGACGGTGGCTCTCCGGCCAGGAGCTAAAGGCCGTCTCTGCACTGCTGGAGCTGCCAGCAGCACAAAGCCCTCCCCGTGCCCACAGCAGGGCTGAGCAGGGGGACCCTTGAGAGCCTCCGGGGCCGCCTTGCCTGTGCTCAGCCCTGTGCCAGTCCCAGCCTTGGTGGCGGCAAGGGGGTGCCCATTAACCTCCAGGCCCCAGAAGCGCCCTCCGAGGTGGCCAGAACGGCACTTGCTGGTTTTGGCAAGAGATTTAAGCCAGATGAGGCTGAGATGAAACTCTAAAGACCCGGGAGGGCTTCCGCCTGCCCTTGCTAGAAGGGATGGGGCTAAAGGGACACACACACACACACACACACACACACACCCGTGCTGTCCTGTTCTGTAGTCTTTGATTTTATCCAGAGGTCCCAGCCCTCATCTCGGCCTTTGCAGCCGGAATAAAGTTCTGTTCAGCCACATCCCTCCAGCTCTTTGCCTCCTCCCGGGAGGACCAGGCAGGCCGAGGAGCATGGGCAAGCCTCCTCCCTGCCAGGGGCCAGGCCCAGTTGCAGCCGCTCTGGTCCACCCATTCTCAGCTTTGTGGGGCCCTTCCCCCCACCTCCTCCCCAGCCCTATCCCCCTTGGCCCCACCGCAAATTCAGGAGCGTTTTAACCCTTAGGAAGCCCCACAAGTGCCTGGGAATTGGGGCGTGGAGCCCCAGGGGTTAATTCCCAGGAGGGAGGGGCAGCCCGTCTGTCTGCCTCCCCTGCCCCCTAGCAGCCCCCCTGCTGCTCCAAAGTCCCCCGCAAGAGCGGTTCCCCCCTTAAAGCCGCAAGTTCCCCAAGTGAGGGAGGGGGACGGGAGCCTCCTTGCAAACCCACATTGCGCTGCCTTCCACGAACAGGCTCCTCCCTTTTGCCCCCAAGCACTCACGGCCCCCATCACTTACCCCTCACTTGCCGGAGCACGCCCGTGATGCTGGGGCTGTGTCCCCTCCCAAAGCGGCTGGCTGCCCAGCCGTTTGAGTGTGCTGGGGGGCGTGGCGGAGGCGAGCAAGGCCGCAGGATCCAGCCCCCTTTGGCCGGGGTGGGGGGAGGAAACGCCACGGGCCAACAGTGCCTGAGGGGCTCTTTATTCCAGCTTGCCCCAAGATTATGTCCCTCTGCGGCTCCTCCGCCGCCTCTCCAACCGGTGCAGGTGGCGCCAGGTTTTCTCCATCACGGCGTCCAACAGGTGCAGCGCTTCCATCAAGGCAGCTTCTTCCGGATCTCCTCGCCGGGATGACGCCTCTGCCCTTCCTCGCTTCTGAGGAAGAAGAGGGGCTGTGGCTGAGGAAGGGCGCCATGGGCCTACGGGTGCTTGGGTCACTCGCTTCCCTGCCCTCTGGAGCTGCCCCCCCCCCCGGGACCTTCACAGACCTTCCTTTTCCTACC